CCCCAAAACCCCAAAACCCCAAAACCCCAAGAATTAATATTGTGATTTAATTATTAATATTGAAAATAAATCAAATAAAATGAAATTATCTGGCCATAATCACATGTAAAACATAAATCAATTATTAAAATCTGAAACCCAAAAATCCCCCAGCAGACTTCCTCATGAATCTCTAGGGTAGCGAGAAAGCAAATCAAAAGGTTACAGTCAAAAATAGGAATCGAAAATAATAGCTAAAACATATTGACTCAAGCTTAATAAGGCAGAGCAACTTTAGTAGTAATAAACTCTTATGAGTAGAAAGCTGGAAATAGATGAGATATGCAATTAAACAGCACAGATGATTGAGTAAGATATAATAAGGTCACATAATGTTGTTTAAACTGCTTCTACTACCATGACAGCATTCAATAATGTTAAGGACTCAAAATAAAGATAAAGAAATTAAGCGATATCACTCAGGTATAGAAATATATAAAATCCAGGCATGCTTTTACCCTATCTTACATCTAATTATAAAGAATTAGGTAAGTCTTAATTAGCATTTCTATGCTCAACTTTAAATTTTAGAAAAGTTTGGAAATTCTAAGCCTAGGCCAAATAACACTTCACTTCAAACAAAAAGAACTATTGCAAATAATGTTAAAATAGAAGAGAGTGGTTTTAACCTAGAATAGATTGTTCAACAAAACAATTAATTACTGAAAGACAATCGCGGAAATAAAAAATGGCAAAGTGATTCAAGCAGAATGAGCACTTCAACTGGGGAAAATCCACATAATGCATTGCAGCAACATCCTAACATTGCGATTCCATCTACTAGCACAAGGAAATACTAAGCTTAGACTAACAATATGAGATAGTATTTGTCTACTTAGGCAACAAAGTAACGATTGATTATGCAGTAAAATAGAGGTACTGATGTAGATAAGTAAGAACTCAGAAAGATAATGTCTCAAAGAGAGTTACAGTCACAAAACAGGGATAACTCTACTATATAAGCTTAAAAACCAAAAGAACGTAAAGCTAAAAGCAAGTCAAAGCATAAAAAAGAAAATAAAAGTGGAAGCTACTATCTATAGAATCTTATTGCATAAGAATAAGAAGAAGACGACGCTTTGATTAGAGATTTAGGATCGGAGAAAAAACCTACACATTAATTTCTCCCATTTAAAAAAAATACAAAAAATAGAAAATAAAAGAACCTAGATAATCACATTGATAATCTATTGAGCGCTTGGGATGAAAACGAAGATTCGAAAATATTTAGGATACAGAAAAAAAAATATAACAAAGTTTATCACGAAGCATATTTTATGAATTCTAAGGAAATTATTCAGCCCATTGAAAGTTTAAATTCTTTGGAGGATTAGGATAACACTAATAATGATACTAATCAGAATAATAATATTCACAAGCAGAGGAAACAGTCTCATCATAATTCATATGATTGCATTTAATAGCTACTGCATGATGCTTCCTCTAAAGATATATACAGTGACTAGTAGCCTCCAGTTATTGTTGATAGAACAAATAAACAGCAAATCTAAATTTTTCGAGGTAAACATAGAAGTTTGGCTCCAAATTGCAATTAGAATGATATTATTATTCAAGATTAGCAAAATAAATATGTGTCAATAAATCCAAATGCTTCAACAAATAATATCATAGATTAGTAAAATGACACGGTAAATTTCTTGCCATAAGATGAGCCAAGTTATGATTAAGATTTCGAGGAAGAGGAGAATGATCAAATGAATGATAGCATCCCACAATACTACAACAATCCAATAATAGCTTAAAAATAATAAGAGCTTAACAATAGTAGCGGCTTTAAATCAGCCTATTAACCTTATCATTAATTATAGCAGACTATGGGAGAAGCCAGGAATAAAAGGAATCCAGAAAATCTATATTCAATAGGCTAGAATTATCTCAAGTATATAAAAAACAGCAATAACTAGTAGCTATAATAATAAATGATGAGGTTAACAAGTGTTTATTCCTCTACCAAATAAGTAAGGAAATCTGGAGGCTCATCACTCTATAATTAACTTGCATAAATCAACTTATCGTCACACAGAAGAGAGGGCTAGATAAACAGAAGAAGTCTTAACACATCAAGTCATCCAGACAACTTCAATCATAATAATAGTGCTGGAAATAGTAATTAAAACAAAAAGCACACTAATTCTCTGAATATTCCAGTGCTAGCACAATAGAAATATAATATTCAATAATATCAACATCCTCATTCAGCGATATAGTAATAAAAGCAAACCTCTTAAAACTTTTGCAACTAAAACTCGCAGTTAGTATATTAAAATTTAGAACAAAGTAATGATTAAAATATGTAATCAGGAAGAAAGCCCTTTCATTCCAATAGAGGTAACATTATGCAAAGTATCACAAATAATAACAATAATTCAGTCGTAACCCAAAATACTAGCATATTAACTCATAAGTTGTTTAACAAAAAGATATATAGAAATGGGATGGGCAAAATAAACTAAACAGTAGAGGAATCTACAAAAAGCAAAGAATAAAGTTTCATTAATCAACAATAACAGTGAGTATTTCATATATGAATAGGGGTAAGTATTAACAGTCAAAAAGTATGGTAGATATAATTAGTAAAGAGTTTTATAATATCTTATTAAGCTTAAAAATATTATTAATAAATCGGAGCTTGACACAAACTTGAAAGCAGGCAGGGGTTTTGGGGTTTTGGGGTTTTGGGG